GTGATCAGTCAGGAGCTGCTGATCAGATGTATCGATCAACTGATCATTAGTGTGATCACCTCTGTAAAGGCAGGAGTTTTATCAGTTTGCTGCTCTGGAGAACACAGGTGTGTTAACACAATGCCAAGGTGGAAATACATCAGCAGTGACTTTAGTAAAGCAGTTGTTGTTTCCTTGTTGAGTGTTGTTTCAAATTGGGAAAACTGTAATTTCTAAACTTATTGTAGTTCTTTTTTGTTTTATTTCTTCTTTCGGCTACTCTTTTCTTCAGGGAACAGCGAATTAACTTGCACGAAGACTTGGTCATTGTTTATACACCGGATGCCCTTCCTGACAACCACAAACCACTGAGCTACCACAGTCCTCTGTGTGGAGCAAGGAGCTGCCATCTAGGGCACCCCAGGGAGCAGATAATAGGGATTAAGGGCCTTGATCAAGGGTCCTGAGTAGGGCCAATGAGGGTGGAGGCAGGTGTGGATGCTTCACCTTTCCTACCCACATTTTGATGTTGTCAGTCAGGGGAGTTGAACTGGCGACCTTCCGATCAAAGGCCCACTTTCTTTAACCTCTGTGCCACCACTCCCTTGAAGTTCATTATTCTACAAAAATAAATATTTAGACGGAGACAACGTTTTAAGACAGCTGCCAATCCTCCGAGGAGTGAGCATCCCAGCAAATTCAAGACTCACGATCAGACAATGTAATGTTCGGAGAAAAAAAAAAAACATTTCCATGTCAGACTCTAAAGGCCTCAGTAAGCAAATTAAAGGTTCAAGGTTCAGTTGGAAAAATCTCTTCAAATCAAGCTCTTCCAAAGGATCTTAGTCAAACTGAAACCATCTGTCAATTGTTGCTTGGACCAAACTGGGTCATGATGCAATAATTTTTAATTTTCCCAAGGGATCAATAAAGTTTAATCTAATATTATTTAATGTATTAGGACAATAATCCCAAACACAGCAGATAATCTAGAACAGTATGGTTGAAAAAAAAAATCAAGGTGTTGCAATCGTCCAGCCAAACTCCAGACATCAACCAGATTAAAATGTTGTAAATTAAAATATTATTATATATTTATTTTAGCTTCACTTTTATTTATTATTAATCACATGGTGGATTTTTTTTTAAGTTAAAGGTAGATCTGAATAAGTTTAGAACCTGATAACAAAAAAATATTATTTTTATTATGTCCTGATCCATAAAACCCTGGACTTGAATGATGGAATAATGACTGTATAATGTGATTTTTATCATTCCCTCATTAGTCCAATAGCTTACATTGATCTTGTTCTTGATGGTGCTGAGCTTGTCTTGGGCAGCAGCCAGCTCAGCATTGGCCTTGCTCAGAGCCTGACGTTTAGGCTCCACCTCACAGTACACCTCGTAGTATTTCACAATGTTTAACACCCAGGAGCACAGACCTGCGGCTGCGTAGGACTTGGAGGCCACCAGATCAGGCTGAAACTCCGGATCCTGGAAAGATGAACACAGATGTTTGAGTCGAGGCGTCATCAAAGCTCAAATCACAGCACTGGCTTGCTGTTCACTGGTAATGCATTTTAATGTGTCATTTACCAGTTTATGCATGAACACAAACTTTTATACTGTGCTCTTTTTCTGCATCTTTTCTCTCTAATCACACTCTGATGAGCATTTAAGGAATGATGAGAGGGCCAGTGTCTTGCTCAAGGACACATTGACTCATGGGGATCCAACCACTGACCTTTATAATCAGAGACATACTGTAGCCTGTGTCTGTAAACTGAAATTCAGCAAACTAAAAAAACAAAAACAAATTATATGCATGAAAGGAATAATGCCAGTTTTAATTGTGGAATCTTTGTTTTGCCTCGGGAACACCACTACCGTTGACATTTATCAGGGTAGAAAATTAAAGGCTCTCCGCCACGATGCAAAACTGTTTTTAATCATTGTTTGTCTTCTGAATGTAATGGTTAGATTAAGCAAAAGGAATTAGGGACAGAATTATGTTAATTTCTAAAAACAAATCTCAATACCAGCTTCTACAGAAAACCAAAAACTCCTTATATGGGTGAACTCGTAAACATTATTTTGAAATTCTAAAATATCACGTCACTTTCAATTACTCTTGATAAATGTTCATCCTAGTTTGATGTCATGGAAGGTAAAGCCTCACATAAGTAGAGCAGTCAGCATGCCATATGCACTCTCACTCAAAATTTACAACATCTGTTTCATTGTGCTGTGTGATGAAACTGCACATTTTAGAGTGGCCTTTAATTGTGGGCAGCCTAAGGCACACCTGTGCAATAATCATGATGTCTAATCAGCATCTTGATATGTCATACCTGTAAGGTGGATGGATTATCCTGGCAAAGGAGAAGTGCTCACTAACAGATTTACACCATTTTGTGAACATATTTTAGAGAAAAAGTCATTTTGTGTATACTGTACAGTAGTCCCTCGATTATCGCGGGGGTTACATTCCACACTCCCCTGCGATAGGTAAAAAACCGAGATGTAGGAACGTTAAATTTATTTCGGTATTTATATATATTTTAAGATTTTATAAACCCTTCCCACACTCATGCAATGTTCTAATCTCTTAAACCTACATAATTTTAACAACATACCTATATTTACTGTACTGTACTGCAAAATTTTACTCACCAGCTCTGCAGACCAGCAGCTCAGTTCTGGTTGGGCTCAGTTCCGGTTCGGCAGACCTACCCTGCAGTGATGAAGCCCACCGCCCACCCAGGTTGATGTGTGCATGGATAAATGATCTTCAGGATTATTTGTGCATTTCCTGTCAGTTATGTGAGCTTAATAGATAGCGTAAATTTGCGTTGCAAAACAAGCCCTCTATTTCAGCAGAAAGCAGTGGTTGGAAACACTGTTGGCTTCTGGGTAGTGTACCGTAGTTCTTTTTGACTGGCATTACAGTGTAGGCTTATTGAAAGAAACTACAAAATGGTGGCGCCTGTCCAAAGTATTTTTTTTGGTTAACTTTTTATCCCATAATGTCTCAATCACGTGAGTAATATTAAAGTTGACAATTGTTGAAAAACTGCGAAAGTGCGAGCCCAGGAAAATTGAACCGCCAAGAAGCGAGGGACTACTGTAAAAGAAAAGTCTTGGATCTTTGAGCTCATGAAAAATGGCAGTAAAAACAAAAGTGTTGCTTTTATATTTTTGTGCAGTATATGTAGCACTTTTCTAGTCTTTCTGGCCACTCACAGCACTCTACACTACCAATCATAGTCACCAACTCATAGTCACCAACTCATGCACATATTCAAACCAATGTCAGGAATAAGGGTTTTGGATTCAAATCAGCCAGACACAGGAGTAAAATTGAGAACAGTTTTCCTTTATTAGCAGCTGCTGGAAAAGTCAGGGTCCAACTGAGGTGACAGGGCCTCACAAGCAGGAGGGAGAGAGAGCCACCTTTGCAGACAGGAGGGGTGGGGACCGCCTGAAGGAGTAGGACAGGATGACATCACCCCACTCGGTGAAACACAACTGTAAGGCAGAGCCGAGGAAAGTGAGATCTGAGGGGAGATCTGAAGATCCAGGTCCAGAAACACAGGTGGGGGTCATACATGGGGAGGCAGAAGTCTGAAAACAAATCCAGAGGACAAATCCAAAAATCCAGAGAGCAAAGAAGGGTAGTTGTTACCAGGGTCAGATGAGCAGAGAGGAATCAGACAAGCGGCAGGCAGAGAGATAAGTCCAAAAAGCAGGCTAAGGTCGTAATCCGAATAACAAGACCTGAGGGTCAGTCATGAAACGTGAACAGGAATGAGAATGAGAAGGCTGGATATCAGGGACCATGAGAGGTTTAATAATCTGGCAGGGACTGAGTGAGAACTTAGGGTTTATGAAGGGCAGGAAACAGTTGAATGGCATGACCACTGATTGCGGTGACAGAACAGAGTGGGCATGGTGAAGGTTGATGGGAGCGAACTAGAAACATGACATGAGCAGGGTAAACAGAGAATGATGATAGGAACCATGGCAGGAGGGGCAGTGAGCAAGGAAGGGGACAGAGGATATGATCATGGTATGAAGAGACATGAGCAGGTGGGGACAAACAGAGACCGCTGATTATGACAACCAATGCAAAGATTGGAGGCAACCTGGATTTGAGTTTGCCCGTCGACATGCTGGTAGGTCTATGTGGTTTGGAAGCTGAGATTGAACCATCAGCTCTCTGATGTGCTTTTCCTCCAGATTCACAACCACTTTTATGCAAACATATACAGTAAAGTTTTTAAAACTTACTTTAAAATAAAAGTGACTTTGTGCTCATACAGATGTTCTGATGCATGCTCAATAATCCAGGTTGAAAAATCCAAAAAAGTTCAATCTGGTCCTCTGCACATTCAAAAAAACAAAAAACAAAACAAAGCAAAAAAGTATAGAAACGTTTCGTCTCTCATCCGAGAGACTTCCTCAGTCTGAGGTGCTGTATTCAGCTCAGTCTCTTAAATAGCACCTTCTCAGAGTGGATCAACCAGTTTTGCTGCTGACAACCAAAACCAGCTGATCACATGCTCAAGAAGGACCATCAGCCTAACAATGGATCATTAGCACACTGATGGCTGTTTACTATTCACAGAGGGCTGAGTGATACTAGCAATCACAGCATTGTAAGAGGGGGACAATTGAACACGTAGGCCTCCACCCCTGTTTAACGATGGATGATTTCTTTTCACAAAGATGGCCTCCTTTACTCCTCTCTCAAACCATCGTTCCTCTCTATCCAGGATGTGAACATCTTCATCCCTGAAAGAGTGACCGCTGGCCTGGAGATGAGTGTAGACCGCAGAGTCCTGGCCTGATGATGTTGATCTTCTGTGCTGGGCCATCCTTTTGGCCAGAGGCTGTTTAGTTTCCCCGATGTAAGACTGATCACAGCCCTCCTGACACTGGACAGCATACACAACATTACTCTGTTTGTGCCGGGGGACTGGATCTTTGGGATGAACCAGTCTTTGCCGTAATGTATTTTGGGGTTTAAAAGCCACTGGGACGTTATGTTTAGAAAATAAACGTCTCAGTTTCTCTGATACTCCCTCAACATATGGAATGACCACTGGTCTGGGTCTGGGTTCCTCCTTTTCACCTGTTGGCTGACTGGAGTCCTGTTTGGGTTTCTTCTCTGCTTTCAGGAAGGCCCAGTTAGGATATCCACATTGCTCTAGAGCCTGTCTTGTGTGGGAT